TTTTTTTTTTTTGAAAATATGTATAAATATTTTTATAAATCTCTTTAACCGATTAACTTTAAAATAAAATTCACCATATCATTAGTAATACTTTTATGCATATGAAGTAAAATGAAACCTTTTTAGAATAGAAATATGCAAAAGCTTATATTCCACCAATCATTTATTCCTACTAGCCCCATTTATGACCTATTTACTATCATAATAGACGGGATGATTGGCTTTCTTTTTCGTTCTTCTAGAAGATAAGCGGAGAGAACGACGTTTTTTTCACCTCAGTTATGTAACCCATCGTCTCATAGAAGAAAAGAAAGAGAACAGAGAACATAAACTATAAAACAAAACGCGTGGTAGACCAGTAAGAGAAAAACTAAGAATAATTTTGTTGTCTTTTTTCCTGTAGTTTAACAGCACAAAAACTTACCACTTGTATTGTTATACGATTTCAAAATGTAAGTTAATCTTATCGTTAGTTAGAAAAATATAAAGAAGAGAAATTAATGTTTCATTTACAAAAAAACAAACAACTTTTTTTTAATGTTGATTTTAGTTTTTTTTGAAACAGTCTGTTTTGCTTTAGGCTTCTCAGCAAATATATAGAGAAAAAACAAAAAACAAAAATATTAAATAAAACCATTTAAATAAAAGACTTTCGTCGATCTCAATTTAAAAAGCGAATAATTAAAAAATAATATTTAACTAAGATAAACTTTGTTTCTTTTTTTTTTTGATATAAAGTTTTTGTCCAGCCTAAAGCGTTCTTCTATCAACATTCCATTTTCTGCTTTTATAAAACATTCTACAAGTCGGAATAAATAGTTTTTAAAAATGTTTTATTTCATAGTGTCCAATGAGCTACTTAGTGTAATTCTTTATTTACTATATATTTAGAATCCTGTACAGTAGTGAGTATAGAAGTAGGGAACGCTACTTCATTTTTAATTCATTTTCAAGTTTTTACTGTCAAATTGAGTGAAAATTATCGTCATATATCTCGGATGAGTTTTAAATACAGAATCTTTTTTGCATAGGGTTCTCGTCCTTCTTGTTATTAATCTCCTAGATTCTTCACTAATTTCATAAGAGTTAAAATAAGAAATTGATTGAATAATATAGAATATATATGCATCTATTTTTCTTTGACATGCATTTTAATGTTTGCTATTCATTTTTTATTGCGAACATCTATAATAATCGAATTCTTTTTGTCGACTTGATCAATGATGAATGTAATGTAGAAAAAAAAACAGAGGAGACATTATCTGCAATGTAAAAACAGCTAATGCTATTAATGTAAGGACGATCGCATAATTACTGATGTCTTTTTTTTTGAAATGCAGATAATAGAAACTGTTTACTACGACTAAAATAGATAAAGAAAATAAGTTCATAAATAATATTCAAAAGATAGGAATCTGTGGTTTTCATATCAATTATTTCTTTCGAGAACTATACAAATCAAAATGTAAATAAATATTTTATCATATAGATAAACTATTTTTCTACAAACAAAAACCACTCACATTGTTGATAAGTTAGTATTTTTTTTTTCTAGAATTTTTACTAATGAATTAAATTATGGTATAATTTTGCAGCGATATTTCTCATATTCAAAGAGACACTCTTCACTTGTCAAATTGCTTTTTTAACAAGATGACATTTATTTGATAAGTACTAAGATCCGTTTCAAAAAAAAATGTGGGTGAGTGCTTCTTGAATAACTTGTGATAGAAATAAGACCAAAAAAACGGCATTTTTCACAATTAGAAAGAGGAGAACAAAACATATCGAATCATAAATTATCACTTCTTCGAAGATGTTTGCTAACGTTGTTTAATTAATTTTTTTTTTTAAAGTCTCGGGAAAAAGATTTCTTTAAACATTAGAAAAAAGGAAAAATGCTTTTTTTTTTTTTTATAAAAAATACTTCAAAAATAGACCAAGAATGTAGACTAGAATACCGATGGCTTCTGAATGATGGAATCTAAAAATTTGACGCTTGTGTATTTTTGTAGACCTTCTATTGGCAGTTGGAATGCACGCCTTACAAATGAAAATTCACTGTAGTCACCCCATAAGATAAGTTAGTTTTCAAAACGATCGATTAAAAGTCTTGAAAAAATGCATCTAGGACACAAGTAATAAACGATTCGATATGTCTTCTTCTACTCTTTCCAAAGATGAAAATCACAGCTTTCTATCAAAAGTCATTCAAGAAATGCTCATCTAACTTTTTCTTGAAAATAAGCATTTGAGAGTAACAGAAAACTGTAGAATGGTTTGCTTTTCTGGGTCTTCATTCTTGAGATATTGCAATTTTACTGAATTTTTTAATACAAATTTTCCACTGAGATTAGTTCATCAGGCAAGTTATAACTTAAAACTCCTCATCTTTACAATTCATATATTTACGTCTACAGAAAGGAAATACTAGAAAAGCTAAATTTTGCCCAATAAACTAATTTCATACAGCACTTTACTTGTACAAAGTTTGAAAACGAAAGTCAGTTTTCTACGTGATCTGAATGGATCACAGCTTTTTCATTGAAAAACTCAGTAAAATTTCAATATCTTAAGAACGAAAACTCAAAACATCAAACAATTCTAATCTTTTCTTTTAATTATTAGTACTCATCAAATGAACACTATCGTGGTCGAACAGCGGTTTGACACTTAGACATATTCTCTCGTTATATGATTTCGCTCATATCAATTATTGTTTATATTAACAACATATTTGTCTCTACTAATCAATTAAAAATATTATTCGATTTTAATCGCTTAGAATTATTTTGATATAGAATTTAGAGAAACAAATATTCACACCCATCATGACAGTAACATAAAGAAAGAAAGTCGTCAAGCAATGAAATCGATCCGTCTAGAAATTAAGTATTATTCATCGTAATAACTAACTTAGATGCCAAGAATCGATCACGATTCAAATTGATCAGATACATCTCATTCTGACTTCGCGTGGATGACTTGAAACTTGATAGTAGTTACCTATCCTCTATAAGATTGTGGTATATTATGTTTACATGAAAAGCTTTATATGTTCTATTTTCAGCCCTTTGTATTTAAAACCGGTACCCAATGAAAGGTCATGCTTGCAGCTGTCGAATAACATATAGAAGTATGGCGAAATATTTTTCTTTTCCTTCTGTTACTTAGATAGCATTGTGTAATAGTACAAATATACATAGTTTAATGATACCCATGACAAAACTTTCTTGCTATGATGCTCTAAAGGCAGTGATTCATTTTGAATTACATACCATTTGATAGCTGTTTTGAAGATCTACAGAATACTACTGTTATACGGAGCTTAATTTATGAATAAGATACTCTACTCAAATGCACAATATTCGAGAAAGCTAAAAAATTTCCTTTTTTTTTATTTTTTTATTAATATTTGACCAATTTAACTTCAATTTTGGAGAACCGAAGGTGAATTTTTGGAAGAAAATGAAAGCTGATGGGTTATTTTGTGAGGTATATAAATTGACACAGTTTTTGTGTTCATTTAAAATATTTCACTTATGTTAATAGAAAGTCTAATTATTTAGGTCAAAATTGATCAAATATCAGTGAAAAAGAACAATTTTTAGCGCTCTGTAACATTGTGCGTTTGCGTGAAGTATTTTATTGATAAATTAAGTTCGATGTAATAGTAACATTTTGTAGATATTCGAAATGGCTATCAAATAGTATATAACTCAAAGTGAATCACTGCTTTTAGAGCACCATAGCAAGAGAATTATGTCATGAGTATCATTATACTATGTAGATATATATATACGAGTAAACAATACCATCTAAACAACGGAAGGGAAAGAATAAAATATTATCATACTTCTATATATCATTCGATAGTCGTAAACATGACCTTTCATTAGATACTGATTTTAAATTAAAATGGCTGAAAACACAACACATTAAACTTTTCATGTGAGCATTGCATACCATGATCCTATAGGCGACAGATAACTACTACCGAGTTTCAAGTCATTTGTGCGAATTCAGAATGAAGGCTATGTGACCAATTCGAACGGTAATCAATTCTTGACATCAAAGTTGATCATTGAGATGGTATGAAACTTAATTTTGAGAGAGGATAAATTCCATCGTTTAATGACTTCTATCATTTTTGTGATTAGAATTATGTATCTAAAATGTAATTCATGAAGTATTAGGTATCAAGAAATTTTTTATTCATTTAGTAATTCCAAAACCATAATAATATGCCACTCGAACGACCAACGTCTGTATCACCATCATCAAAACTAGACAATTGTAATAAATCTCCAAGAAAACCAAGAAATTCCCCAAAACTAGATTTTTGTAAAGTATGTGGTGACAAAGCAACTATCATCAATTATGGTATACTTTCTTGTCAATCATGTAAAACATTCTTTCGACGAAATGGCTTTCGTCTTGAAGTTCGTAGTTCATAGTTTTTTTTTTTTGATCAAAATCATTATTGATTTTGTATCGTTTCGTTTTTTAAGAGTGCTCGTCCATGTGTATTGAATGGATCATGTGAAGTGAATGTAAAAACACGACGAAATTGTACTGCTTGTCGTCTTGCTAAATGTCTGTTAGTTGGTATGAGTTCAGAATTAATTCGTAAAGAAGAAATGAAAAATAAAAAACCTTTGTTAATATCTAAATCCAAAACTATTAAAAATGTTGCTTCCAAACAAGTGACAGTATGTATTTAATACAAATAACTGAATTTTTAAGATTATTATATTTATATATATTTGACAAATTTATTGTAATATAAAAGATCCTAAAAATGGGTATTTTTTCCTCGGTAAAAATATGTTAGAATGAGAAACACTGCCACAACTTACCTATTTTTATTAATTGTTCATAGTCATTTTATACAGTTTACATAAAAATACTATACTTGTAACTAGTACGTATTAAGAATCACATGAACTCCTAGTCAGTTATTATGAACATCAGATAGAAACTAAATTGAAATAAATTGTTATCATACTTGAAAGTAATATGAAAAGGTTTTTTTTTTTTGAAACCATCTCCTTACTGTTAGCTTAAATTTCATATTTTTCACTGAGAAAATAGTATTTTCCCATGATTTGAACATATAAAATGTTCAAAATTAGTGTATCTTCAAATATGAGACAGATCACACAATATTCTTTTTATCTGACATCTTTAATTAGCATTGAAAAAAAGTTGCTAAATACCTAAAAGTATACATAAGTTGAAGTTTTCTATATTAATAATAATTCAAATCATCATAATTATTCTACATATAGTCTGCACCAAAGCAACAAACAGTGGAGTTAGTTCACAAGGATCAATCTCTGACCAATTCCGAATGGACATTATTCTCGAACATTATACATTCTCATGATACATTTAATATAACCCCACATATATGTCAAATTATCGAAAAATTATCAATATCATCTAGTGAAATACAATTCAATGAAACAAATGTATTTGAATTTGTCATTCTTCTGTATAAATCAATGCTATCATTTATTGGTTCCTCATTGGATTTTCATATACTTACAACAAGTGAACAGTATTTTCTTTTCAAACGCAATTTACATGCTATCACTATATTCTACTCCGTTCTCGTATTTCATGATACAGCCATAACTTATAAACCCAAGTGTATAGATCTATTTACGACTATATATGGACCAGAAATTCCACTCCAAATAAAACACATTAACGATCAATTAGATTTTGATTCGACTGTTGTCAAACTTTTGTTGCTTGTTCTTGCTTTTTCAACAAATAATTTTATTGTTGATGTTGATGAAAATATGTCGAATGACAGTCTTCTATATAGTACACATGGCCTTTTCAGAAGTCAGAATGTATATATAGAACTCCTATGGAAATATATGGCTTATCGATATGATTTTTCGAACTGTGTACGTCATTTTTCTCGACTTATTCAATATTTTCTCAATTTGATCAAATATGCAACAATTGTCTATATGAAGAATGGGACTCATCATAAACTAGTTGATACTGTTCTTAAGAAAATTAAATAATAACTTTTGACTGCTCACAACGAGTAAATTCAATCCTAAGGAAGTAAATGCTGATTTTACCTATATATTTATATTTTGTATTGTGCGTATTCTATATTATTTATTAAAGTTAAGTGACCTATTGAAAAAATATTAATCTATTCCTTGATATCGATGATATGTAAATGGCATGTGTTATCATCAAAGAAAAGGTAATATTAGCTCAGACGTGTTGACTAAATCTATTTTATGTCGTAGATCCGGTAAAAAATTATTAATGAGAATTAATATAGTTTAATATCTTAAAAAATAAATAAATATTCGGATGTTATTATATTAATATTTTTGTTTCTATTTGGAATGCTTTAACTTAAATATTGAAGCTCTGTGCATTCAGTGTCGATGGAAAAGAAGTCTTAGTTAGAATAGTTCTTGCAAGATAAGTATTGTTACTGAAAGTATGTGTTTGTGATACTAAATGAAAATATAGTCATTTTCCAACGAAGTTCTTTTATGAATTTTACTTAAATTCAAGATTTATTCTCATTCGAAAGTTGATTATTCTAGATGAAATATTGGATGAGATCTGTCGAGTTTCTTGATGAACAATAGATCGATATATGACATGTATCAAAATCTATGACAGTATTAGAACAAAATGAAACCCTGAGTATGGTCAGCGGCGTAACTTATGAAAGATACATGAGGGTATAGTGTCTTTTCTCTCTCCTCTCCCTTCCGTCTAGCATTTGTTCGTACAATACCCTTCAACCTTAGAAAAATGTTCATACATCGCCTCGTTCCCTGCATTCATTGCTAAGTTACATCTCTGAGTATGGTTGTAACTATGATTAACTCTTATTTTCGTAACATAAGCAATGAATAATAAAAAAAAATTGTCAAAAACAAGTTCTAACGATCCCAATAGTAAATACATGTCCTATCAGTGACCGATACTAGCTGCATGTAACAATTATATTACATTCAACTATGAGCATATTGTCTGAATTCGTATACATACATATATATAACATTAAAGATCATATTTGAATTAGCGACGAAATACAAATATTATTACACTTGCGCTTGATTCTTATAAGAGAAGCCAATGGAGTTCCAATGATTTTTGTTAGAATCTCGATATGAATTTCTGCTTATTTTAAATTTAGCGTGGGATGTGAAAATATTTAGAACTTAAAATATTGAAAACTATTCTATGTTTCAGAAGTGCTCATCATACCGATATTGAAAACTCAATTGCAATTGAGATGGAGTTCAAGAGGGTTCAAGACACTGTATATTGAATGTGGGTGGAAACACAGTGAGAAAACTTCGTTGAAAGAGTTATAATGATTGATACAAATAATCTCACAATAGGAGCTCCAAACAGTGACTTCATTTGATTTTCTTGAATTCTTCAAAATTTGAAGCATTAAAAAAGTTCAAGGACACTTAAGGCATTCTACAATGATATGTTTGGAAACATTCACGCACAGCTCCACTGACAAAATTACGAAGAATGACACCTATAAACCTGAGATGAGTGCCCACAAAACTGAATTCCACTCGGTTTCCTTGAATTTTCCCCTTCTGCATGGAGGGATGGGGTGGGGTGCAAGTATGTCTGAATTTTTGCTGGAATTCGATTGACTAGGAACTTTTTTATTTCAACCAATCGGATTTGAGTAGAGTTTTTCTCACTAACTTAACGAAAAAATCTATTGTTGTCTAAGCTTATTACGAGGTTATCAAGAGCTCTCTCTTTAATGGCTTGGACAACACTATGTTAAGTCCGTACTGAAATATAAGAAAACTCAAAGTAAAATGACATTTACTCCAACACCATCATTAAACTTAATTTTTTGTGAATTAGAGTAAAATAAAAAGCCTTAAAATTAATATTGAGTGTTAAGTAAACCCATTTGACACTTAACTTAGTTAAGTCGAGTTGAAAAACAACAATACACTCTTAGAATATTCTCATCCGTAAAATGCCTCTACAATAATAAGACATAAATAGTAAGTTTCGTTTTTAATATTCCTACAATTCAACAATGATTTTTCTTCTAATATTATTGACTAGATTCACTTCAGATAAGTAACATTGTTGCGACGTGACAATAAATGAAGTCTATATGGATTCTCTTTCTCTAAATTTGTCTTCAATTGATCGATTTATGAATTTGAAAGTCACAATACCCACATCAATTGTATTTCAACAAATTTCATGCAAACGAAAAAAATAATTATATAACACACAATGAATAGATGTTGTTCACTTTGAATATGTTTTTCTGTGTTTGATAACAACCGTATTTTCCTTATATTGCGTTATTTTTAACCTTTTGACTTTGTTGACCCTACTTTGAATGTTTTCACGTTCATTCAGAAAACACTAAAATCACCCTATGTCTCTGTAACAGTTGCATAAAGAAGTCTAAAATAAGTAACTTTTTTTAATCTGGAAAACCTGTATTATATTTGACATATATCTTGCATTAATGTCATACTTATTAGAAAAGTAAGTCTCTATATTGTAAAAAAAAGATTACTAAATGTTCTCTAAATGTAAAGTTTGTCTCTTCAAGAGTGTACACTTACTTTTTATGGAGAAAGTGGTTGGTTTTGGTGTTTTCTGAATAAATATAAAAATGCTCAAATCTTAACTTCAATTCGAGCGTTTCAAAGCACTTTCAGTGAACTTAATCTGATTAGAAAGATAACATATGATCATGATACAAAAAGATCATATTATAACAACAAAACAAACTGATAATAAATGCGGAAACTTCGGATTTAAATCCGAGAGTTATGTGTACTTCAAAAAGTGAATCATACAAATCAATCATCCTAGACTGTCTGAATATCAAAATTATACTGTGAAATCTACCATTTAAAATGTTGATTTCTATTGCGCGTTGCCAAACCAATAGGACATGGGACCGAATACAGCTCAAGTCTGAACTTTTTCCCTTGATTTACCCGAAGAAAGTCGTTTTTCCTATAACTTCATTTCTATTGGTCACTGCACAACTCATAGTATTTCGATGGAAGTGCAGTACACATTCGAGTTCTCCATATCTGAAAACCTCGAAGTATCATCAGTGTGACCGGAAGATAAAGCTCTATTTGTGGATCCATTAGATCGTGGACCAAAATATAACCTAGTCCTCTTTAATTATCCTTGTCATAGGTAAGTCAGCCTTCTTGTTTCTTTATGTTTTATATATCATTTTGTAGTTCTTGAAATCCTCTATCGAATGGTATATAATAGTTGGGGTTTTAATTGACTATGATAGGAAAAGTCTTTTACGAAAGTCGCGATAGGTCCATTTTTCCACAGAAACCTGTAGGGAAAAATGGGTATTTTTGCAATAACTCAGGAACGGCTCAGCCGGTCCTTCTCATCTTCGAACTCGACTGAGATATTGTGAAGATTAAGCTGTGTAGAAAGTTTCATCGCAATCTTACTCTTCTGTCAAAAGTTATCATGTAAACAGCCAACCGGACGGACGGACACACTGACTATTCTATAGTGTACTCGCTTTTTGAGTACACAAAACTATGATTCAGTTCAAAACTAATATCAGATTCAGAATCAGCGTTAAAAACTAAGTCGATTTATGTATTTTGTGAATGATTATGAGCAAAAAATTTTTTTTCGAAAAATCCCCGTACCCCCCCTCAGGGATGGTCTGGTCAAAAATCACAATTTTTTCGATAACTCAGCCATTTCTTGACGGATCCTTCTCATCTTCGAACTCGACCGAGATATTGTCAAGACTAAGCTGTGCACAAAATTTCAGCTCAATCGAATGTAATTGTGAAGAGTTATTGAATAAACGGACGGCCGGCCGGACACACTGACCGATTTTAGTAGTGTACTCACTTTTTGAGTACACAATAAAAAAGAGAGACAAGAAAATTTTGAAATACTAGAAGTATTTAGAATATTCTAGAAAACATAAAAATTCTTTTTTATACAGATGCATCGAGTCCTGCTTTACGTGTCAAATGACTCATTTTTTTAATCTATGGATGCACATCAAGTTATAGAACAAATCGTTTTGATCTTGGTAAATATTTTCATATTATTTTCTTTTCATCAAGTTATGTAAGTGTTTAAGAATGATTCTTTTATTAATATCTAACCATCATGTAATTTAGTCAATATGCTAAAGTATGTTTTCCTCATAGACATTGCGTACATTATCAAGTGACTTTTTGATCGTAAGCAAACGCTAAGAAGAAATCATTCCCATCATTGCAGTGTGCTTTATGTTTAAGACACATACACTAAAAATAATTTATTTCAGACGTAACAAACTGTTTTTAATAATTAAACGATCTATTTATAATAACCATTTCTGTGAAAACTTAATCGACGTTTTGTCTTTCATGTTAATTAATAAACATGAAAATCAATGATACAAAGTTCCATAATATTTTTTGTTTGCCATCATATAAATATCTGCAGATAAATTGAAATTGAAAATTGTGTCAAAGTTTTGCTACATGAAACAACGATAAATATATATGAGGAGATTTATGTTTCATACTAAAACGTTTGTATAGTATGACGAAACTGTTGAAATAATAATTTAAAAGAAAGTGCATCGGGTACATCAATTCATTTCAGAGCAGAATCAATATTTGGTACTGGTACATTTCGTCGCGTTCTGTTCGTCGTAGAACATTTTGTCGCGTTCTGTTCACCACAGAACAATTTTTTTTCCATTCTGTTCGTTGCATCCTTCTCAATTAATTCTTTTTTTCTTCAATAACCAATTGCAATAGAATAAAATAAATTAAAAATTCTGAAAGATGTATACGATAACGATAAACGATTGACTATTGTAAGGCATATGACTTTAATTGGGGAAAACGGATCAATAAAAAATATTAATCAAAAGTGATCATGATAGAGCTAAAGTGAACGAAGAATAATTAGACTTGTCAATCGGTGAATAAATTTCAACATAATCAATGCCAACGATAACACAGATCCAATGTTTTTAATTATGGGATTCCAATAAAAAAAAACCATGCATTGATGACATTGAAAATATATTTCATTTCTCAATATCAATATTCACTGCACACTACTCCTCAAAATAAACATCTCAAATGGAAAAACTTCTTTCTGTAAAAGGAAACAGTGCTCCTTTATGAAAGTTACCTCTACACTGTAGAACTTTCAATAACGATATTTTCAATCTCATCAATGTATATTTTTATTTATCGTGAACCTATAATTAAGAACATTTGATCAGTATTATTGTTGGTCTAGATTATGTTGAAATTTATTCACCGATTGACAAATCTAATTATTCTTCGTTCATTTTAGCTCTATCATGATCACTTTTGATTAATACTTTTTTATTGATCCGTTTTCCCCAATTAAAGTCATATGCCTTAGAATAGTCAATCGTTTATCGTTATCGTATACATCTTTCAGAATCTCTAATTTATTTTATTCTATTGCAATTGGTTATTGAAAAAAAAAAAGAATCAATTGAGAAGGAATCAACGAACAGAACGCGATAAAATGTTCTGCGACGAACAGAGCGCGACAAAATGTTTTTTTTTTTGAGTATGTCTAATTTATTACGTCCATGGACGCTTATAATGACAAAATGTTCTACGACGAACAGAACGCGACAAAATGTTCTACGATGAAGTGATCGGTCACCCAATATTTGCTTATAATAAATTGTCAAAAGCAATTAAAAGATTTTCTTTTTATTAAACACAATTTTCAATGTTTTATTCTCATTTCATTATATTAGAATTGTTTAAAAAAAAAATTACTGTAGTAATAAAAATATCTCATGAATAAGGAAAAATCACATCGTTGAATATATTCATTTCATATAGATCATATCGAAACTTCATTATATATATATATATTTTTTTTTTGATTACATTATATAATTTTTCAATCTACGACGCATATGGAAATATGTAACAGACTATTTCAGAAATAAGCAGCTTTTTTTTACCAACGTCAGTGCATTGCGTACAAAATATTAGCAATAGGTCATTACGTCCGCTTTTTAAATAAATATTCATATATGGAAATTATATATAAATATACCATTTATATTGTTATATTTTAAATTTGAAAGTCGATTTTATATGTTAGAAACTAATTATATCGTTTACAAAGTTTTCTCTATACAGTTCTAGATTAAGATGATATTCATAAATATTTCGACGTACACATTCAAAGATGTATGTTCAACAAAAATTAGTCTAAACATCGAATTGCTAAAAGATTCTTCTATAGAAAAAAAAAAATCAGTATATTTTTTCAGATAGTTTTTTAAAACAAAAAGAATTTTCGTCTATTTATTAATATATAATATGTAATGTCAATGCTTATTTTAAGATACGAATAAGAACTACAGGAAGGAAAAAATGTTTTTTTATCGCCTCATAACCGACAGTATAAAAGAAGGAGAAAAGAAAAATATGTGAGATGCGAGTACGAAAAAAGAATGAAATAACAAAGTGCACTCATTGCAAAAGAAAGAGAAGGTTATAGACGGAGAAAGTGAAATACTATTTAATATCGAACATTTTGACTTTATAATAGTCTATATTTGTAAGCAATTGCATCTAAAAACGTAAGTTAATTTCATATTTTCTGAAAAAGTAAAAGAAAAGAAGGACTGATTAAATTGTTGTTTTAAGGACGGTTTTCTTTTTAACCAAAACTTATCTTTTAACATCAACATCATGTTAGAAAAAAAAAACAATAGTCTCTTAAAAAGCTTCTGATAACCTATGTAATTGACTAGACGAGAAACCAAAAAAGTTAAATAAATTTTTGATACATGTTTATGATAAAAAATATTTCAACATTGATTTACTGAATCTTCTGATTTTCTCAAATAGTCTGTTATATTTTTATTGTATTGTTCGACATAATCACTGAAAATGCTTTTCTTCTTTAAGATTCATTGCTTTTGATCATATCACCATCATCTACTCAGGTAAATTTATTTTTTATAAAACGAAAAGGGAATCTTAAAAAGAGAAGGAAGTATTTCTTATAGTTTAAGAATATTTAATAATAGTAAGACGAAAATTTAATCGTTGTTAATTAAGTAACACGTATCCGATAAAATAAATCCGCTAATAATATTCAACATACCGTAGTTACTTCCATAAAATTGTTTCTCTATCACTTTTTTTTTTGTTTATAAAATAAAGCAAATGCATTTTTACTTCGCTTGACTGAGCAAATACGTTGTCGATGCATTAGTATTTATCATTTGTATGTTTCTTATAGTGTCTTTGTGAAATGGTAAACTTTTTAATCAAGGTCAGTCGGAAACAGATGCTTAGAGTAGTCATTTCAACCGTTGGAAAACAGTGTCTTAAGTGATCTAAAACAACTATGCAATAGCTTATTGTTGCATTAAGTTTTTCTCGTGTTATGTTGTAATCGTTCATCTTATTTTACGAGTCATTTTTTTCGTTAGCAAATACCATCGATTTTTTTCGCATCATTTAAAAGAGAATTTTCTTTTATTTTATAATTAAATAAAATTTAACTATTACCTTTTCTATTTTGATATATCAAGAATTATAAACGTCTTTTTTTGTGTGGCTTATCGTGAAATCGTAGCGGAATGTCATTCAAACGGGCCTTATCTGTATCATCTGCATCAGATGATGATAACTTTAATAAAACTTCAAGACGAATAAAAAATTCATCCAAATTGCGTTTTTGTCAAGTATGTGGTGACAAAGCAAATATCATCAATTATGGTACACTTTCTTGTCAATCATGTAAAACATTCTTTCGTCGTAATGGTTTTCATCCAGAAGTTTGTAGTTTATAAGATTCTTAATTCAATCTTTTTTTACTGATCGATTTCTTTTTGTAGAACGTACGTCCATGCTTTTTCAACAAATCATGTGAAATAAACACTAATACACGACGAAATTGTACTGCTTGTCGTTTTGCAAAATGTTTATCGGCAGGCATGAGTCCAGAATTAATCCGTAAAGAAATTCAACAAAGTAAAAAATGTGCATTACCAACAAACGGTTCTAGTCATTATAATGCAGTACATAAACGTGTAATGGTATGTAGAATATCTGATCAAATGAATTAGAAATTTTGTGCTCAATATCTTTTTTTTGCTGTTGACTTATCTAAACTATTCGTTCGCGTTCTATTTCAATAGTTAATGCGATGAATTATAAAAAGTTTTAATATGTGAAAGATACTTAAGTACTATGCAATTGAAATTCTTTCTCAGTTTCCTCACAGCTCCATAATTGATAAAATAAAAAAATACAATATTCACGGCATTATTCGCTCGTAAATTCATGTATACCAAGGAGTTTGCTAATATGAATATGCGGATATAAAAATTATTACAGACAAAAGCATTAGTTTTACTTTCCTAAATGGCGAAAGTGTGAGGAAGCCAATAGTCAATTCTCTTTTCCTCAAGAAATTATCATAGCTTCGCTCCATTCAGAGTTCTTTCATAGTTAGAAACTCTTAATTTCTCAGTTCTTGAATATGACTGAATACTATTCGGGTTTAACATTGACATATTATAATGTCCACATATTACTTCCAATGAAATAAAATTCTAATGAGAACTTACTGTAATAGAAATTTCGACTCAAACTATTGAATTTCATAGATATTATATCATCATAGCGGTCTAAAAAAATACTAAGCTTGGAATTTAATAAAATCAATATGATTATTAACTATGAGTTCAATTTTGAAAATAATCTATAAAAATACGTTGTGATTACTATTCAATTTTTATTTTAAAAAAATTAGTTAAGACTCATAATGCACTTCGAGTACAAATAATAATATTAATAATGATTAGAAAAATAAGAAAAAAGTTTTCTTTTTGTATTTAGGCTACATTACAAATTTCCGTATTAGATAAATCACATAATGATCCATCATCTATTAATAAATATGAATGGACATTACTCTCAAATGTTATTCATGCTCATGACACTTTCAGTACTATACCACAAATACGTCGCACTATTGAAAATTTATCTGTACCACTTTCATTTAATATGTCATACAATGTATCGAATGTATTGGAAATCATCATTCTTATGTATACATCTATGAAATCATTTATTAGTTCTTCACCTGATTTTCGAATATTAACTATAAATGAACAATGCTCTCTTTTTGAACGTAATTTACATGGCATCATTGCTCTTTATTCAGCCCACTACTTCCGTACTACGGGTATTATTGATACTCCTAAGTGTTTACAAGCATTTTCTATAGTATATGGATCAGAAATGATGCGTCAAGCAAAACATATCAACCAACAATTAGATCCTGATTCAACTGTTATTAAACTTATGTTGATTGTTCTTGCATTTTCTTCAAATTGTTTTGTTGTTGTTAACAAAGAAAAACCATTACTTGACAGTTTATTAAACGGTACTTTTCGTTTATTCGGAAGTCAAAATGTATATATTGAACTCTTATGGAAATATCTAATCTATCGATATGGTTATTATGAATCAGTAATTCGATTTAGTCGACTTATTGGACTTATTCTCAATTTAGTTAAGTACTCAGTAGTACTCTACACAAATAATGAATTTTATTATCAATTAGTCAACGAAATTTTAGCACAAATAAAACAATCATTCACGATGGATCAGGATGTACAAAAACCACTATGGGGAAAAACATGATTATGTAGTAACGAATTATTTTCTTTCGAATTTAACATTTTTCTTCGTGTACAAAGATTTTATATTCAACGAAGATATTATTAATAATAATCTTTTAGTTAGATAAGCTTTGCAATAAAATAATTTTCTGTCTGACAGATCTATTGTAGAAAAAAAAAAAGGATAATCTTGTATATTTTAGTTTTATCAATTAGAATTTTTATGAAGATACAAGTATTACACTATTTAAATCTGCCTAGATAAATGTCGAACTCACGAAGAGATTAGATAAATATTTTTTTTTTTCTAAAACTATGTCTCGCGTGACGAATCTTCGACTGAAAAGAGCTTATTAGTAAGACCTTCGGTTTCATTTCGTGCAAGAAAAATATATCAATATGCATTTCATATTAATAATAATTCTCGTTACAAATTGAAATTTATTTCTCTTTATAAACATAAGAAAAAGTATCATATTAAAAATATGTTTAAAAAAAAGTTTCAAGTAAATCAATCACTATCCAAAAAAACATGTAGATATACTTTTTTTTATTAGAAAATGTTGTAAGCTTGACCTGTTTTTTGATATAGATATACAACTCATACTTAAAGTTCAAATTTAACTTCAATCATTTGATTTTAGGAATCAATTTAATTTTCAAAAATATTGGTATTCATATGAAAAATAAAAATATTACGTTAAAAAGGCCTTCATTGATAGTATAGATAAGTACAATAGAGAAAGAAATGCTTTTGTCGAATGCAAACAAAACTATTGATATAATTAAGAAACAACTAACTGTTTGTTTATGATTTTACAAATGTTTGATATATATTAGAAATATTTACTAATGAGAGATTACAGTAATGATTCAAAATAGAAGAAGAAAATATTCTCTAGAATTATCATTCTTCAAAAGAAATGTAGCAAAATATTAAAAAGAAGTAACTACTTTAGGTATATATAAATACCATCAGTAACAATAATACCAAGCCAACTCAATCTTTTTCTTTTATAAAATATTCGATTTAATCGAAAGGACAACATTCTTCTTGTATATAACCTATCTCGCAGCCCAACATATCTACGAAAAGATATAATACTTTTCATGAATTCGATCAATGTTATATATATGTCAGACTTGCTTCAAAAAGAGACACGATCTTATTGGTTTTTTTTTCTGATATTTTATGAATAATAGAAAAAATGAAAATAATATATTTAGGAAGCGTTCATATTCATCTATCGAGAATAGTATTAGAAAAATTCAGTAATTATAATTAAACATTCATTCTCAGTTTCAATGATAATACAAACAGAGCAATATAAATACGATTCTTGTTTCCCAAAAAACTCAAAACCAACATAAGTATTTTGATAATAAATTTCAAATCGACAGTTGTATGCGTATAGTGTTAAGCATTTTTCAATATAATACTCTCCATACGGGAAGTATATATTACATTAAGCAAGATGAGAAAAATTTCATATCAATAGAATTTTCATATAAATTCGAATAATCTTTACTATTTCAATAGATTTTATAAAATAGTTAAACACTGAACAGTGGTAGATAACTGGAAGCAGGATTCTAATTACCAAAGTTCTGTTTTCAACCTCCTACCATTTTCTGGAGAGTTCTAGATGAAAGCCCATGGATGTGAGCTGCAAAATCATTATTCTGGAAATCAGTCAAAAATTCTACAGAAAATAAAATAGTGTCATGGAAAAACGTCAATCAATACTATTCATAACTATTAACAAGCGAAAATCAAACTTATAACATCAATATCAGATAAATTAGTAGAACAAAGTTCTATAAGAAATCGTAGCCTTCGTATCATGATTATAGTATTTATTATAATGCAGTTATCATTAAAATACTAAAGAGAATCTTTAAATGCAAACTATTTTCTAAAATATATTATTTAAAATGTGAAAATTAAAAATAAAATTATATTTCCTAGATATAATTTTCTATTAGATTTAATAAAAAGAAATTTTGTGGAGTAAAAAGAGATAAATACATAACTAAAAATTTCATTATATGATTCTTATATGTAATAAATGTTTTGTTAATCGTTTTCTAATAAAGATATATCCTTTACTGATGCAAATAATTTAGAAGAATTCAATCTTATTGTTATAATAGTCTTATGTTTACAAATAGTCTTTTAAAAATTTTAGAGAATATCATATTTTATTTTTCAATGCTATTATAATTTCAGATAAAGTTATCTTTCATATCACAGATTGAAGCTATGTAAGTTGATCAAATGATATTTATGTTTTCTACTTCAGCTGCTAGTATTTATAGTAGTCATCAGAGGTCCAAACAGGCCCACTTTTTGAAGGCCTGGCCTGCCTGCCTGTCGAGGTCTGTGTATTTTTTTCACGTCAATATCATGGTAAAAATACAGTAGAAATAAGTAGTAATCTTTATAAAAAGTCCTATTAGTCACTGGATTCAATCTACATGATTACAGTAAAAAGTCTCTAATTGAAAAATCCAAGAGAATTTTCAACTTTCCATTAAACAGAGGTGTCATCCTCCTTTTTATTTGAGAGCATGTGAAACTGAAGGTAGAACAAAAACTGTCTACTTCCAACAGTACGTCTAGTTAGCCGAAATATAAAAAAAGGCATCGTTTTCAATAAACAAGTAACTTCATTAAAGAGATAGCAACAATACCTACATGTAAAAACTGTAGACACACTCTCGTGTAAAATATAATTTATGTAAAAGTCTCAAAAGAACCATTTTAAATGATTAAAACCATGATTATTTTATCGATTGTCCATTGGTAGCGAGTCGATTACAATGAAAACAGATCAAAGTCGATTTCTTATCGATTCCTAATCTATTAAAAATGTAGGATGTTATTGAACCTAGAATCAACTTTTTGCATCACTTCTGTTACAAGGGCTAGATCTGCATTCCTCACAGCAATAGAAAATTTAATTTCATATATGCTTATACTTTTGTCATCGCTTAGCAAAAAGTTAAAGAATACTAAAACGTGCTTTAGAAAGCTGGTAGCTCTTCGAAGACCTTGAATATTTTTCGTGTAGCTCCCTGTTCTTATGTTTTGTAATTAAACATTATATACAATTTTTGAAGAAAATTTTGCGATCGACATCTTTCAACATGAACTTAGAAGAAAATTAATAAAATTTCTCCTAAAAAGTTGCGTATGTCTTCTAAACTATGCGATCTTTAATTTTTAAAGGTTTTGTATAAATAAAAGTATAAGTGATTATGACGGTCTGCATCCAAAAGAAAGGCTATCCTTCAATTAAATTAAAAAAAGAGCGCGATGGAGTAGGGATGTGTAAATAATATCAATTTCGAACTCTATTCTTTTTCAGAGTTGGTGGTGTCTCTAAGTATTGACAATTTTACAGGTACCTGCATACATTGAAAAGTTTCGTTATCGATTAAAAATTTACAAACTGAACATTGGCGATACGTAGACAAAATTAATACAATGCTAAGATAGTCATCTTGTGGAAGATATCTGGTTTTTGTTCAAGAATATTCTCAATAAACTTCTCCCGTCAGATCACAATGTCACTCAAAAAATTGGGACCAAGAGAGAAACAACATTCAATCAGTGAAAAATCTGCAAGAGAAAAAAGATTTAGGCTCAATTAAATTATCTAAAATTGAGAAACATGACAAGTATATAATAATAACTATGAAAATTTGTGTTCATGATCTCTTCAGAATGGTAAGGGAATCGATTTTCTATCAGTATCTGTAATACTCTCATTCCGCAGTATTTGTCTAATTCATCATGCTTAAATGTGGTTTTTTTGAAAATTAATGAAGTTTGTATCTATTTGCTAACAACATCATCAAATTATCAGATGAAACTTCGATTGCAGAAAAAAAGTGGACAGGCCAGGCGGCCTGCCATTTTCAAGCGTCCTGCCTGGCCTGTACCTATCACAGGCAGATCGGCAGACTTCGTGGCCTATTTGGACCTCTGGTAGTCATTTAGTTGAAATTTTTATATTTGATGGTATTGATGTTGGAAGAAACTTGCAAAATGCAATACATCAATCCATAGTTTTTAGTGTGACTACTAAGTCTGTTGACAATACAATTGGATTTGCTTGATCGTGTTTATGACACTTGTACCATATATTGACAAAATCATTTGTATTTGTCAATGTTGACTATATTCTTCAAAGTTGGGAGGAGGTATGTGAAAAAGATTTTATCAAAGTATGGCATACTTAAAATAACTATAGGTTCCAAATTGTCTGTTCTATAAATTTTCCTATGTACTCAATAGAAATCTATTAATACTAATGCACAAAAGAAAGCAGAATGAAAAATGCTCACGGAAGATGTAACAATAATAGAAGTAGACAAACAAAATAGGTATCTATAGAAGTGTTCCGAATTGTTCACAAATAAGAGATAGAACCATATTTCTTTCCAAATCGGTCACTATTCTAATGGCTGTTTAATAATGCAACTCTTTCGATGTAAAAGGCATGCCACCATGCCTTCAAATGTTAATATTCGAGCTTATTTTAAGTCGATTAAGATTATATAATTGGTACTTTGAAGTAAAACGAAATCTTTTTAATTTCACTTTGAAGATTATTCGAAAGAAAAATAACTCTGTATTTTCAGAAACAGGTTAACAAACTCATATTGAGTGTTTGTTTTACGATATTTTCACTGGCAAAAATAACAACAGTTCTTTTTATTGGATGGATGTTACACTTCCGACTCTCCTCCTTCGATTCGATCACAACCGATAATTGTAAAAAATAAACTTAATAGTACGTCGTTTTCTAAATGTATGTTTATGTTTGATCATTTTATTTTGTTGATTCTAATGAATTGTTTGTAATTGGTGCAAATACTCTATTATTTATATCGTGAATCATAAGTTTTTAATGATTGTTTTTCGAACCATTCTAAAAATTCTTTTTATCTGATGCTCGATATTTGTAGAATCACTCTATTGGGATATAAGCATTCAAAAACACCATTTATTTA